CCAGGACGGTACCAGCTCTAGAACAGTACCAGATCCAGGACGGTATCGGATCCAGGACGGTACCAGCTCTAGAACAGTACCAGATCCAGGACGGTATCGGATCCAGTAGGGTACCAGCTCTAAGACTAGTTAGCCCATCCCAGGCTGTGACCCACATAACCATCCGCAGCAACCCACTTCACTTTAAACCCAAAACAGTATAAATCAGTTCTTCAGAAACCAACGCTGAAACATGGAGGATGGGTGGGTCAGAAACAGAACCAGCAGGTCCAATCTGCTCAGGCTGAAGCTAAACTGGTGACATTATGGGAGCTAAACGGGAACCAGAGGAGCAGAACCTTTGGAACAAACAGGTTTTTTGTGCCATCAGCCACCAGTCCTGGTTCGGTCCGGTCAGAATCTAACAGGTTGATCAGGTTCTTCATGACGAAAAGATAAACGTTCTTCTGCTCCAAGTTCATAGTTGGGAAGAACCTGAAAGAAAAGCAGGAACCCATCAGGGACCTTCATGGTTCTACTGGATCAGCTCAGAGCGAACTAGGTGAGCCTGGACCTTCTTTGAGGTTCCCTGCACCTCTGCAGGTTCTCTAATGTTCCCTACCTCTGCCGGGTAACTGATGTTCCCTAATGTTCCCCTCCTCCGCAGGTTCCCTACCTCTGCAAGTTCTCTAATGTTCCCTACCTCTGCAGGTTTCCTATGGTTCCCTACCTCTGCAGGTTCCCTAATGTTTCCCACCTCTGCAGGTCCTCTAATGTTCCCTACCTCTGCAGGTTTCCTATGGTTCCCTACCTCTGCAGGTTCCCTAATGTTCCCTACCTCTGCAGGTTCTCTAATGTTCCCTACCTCTGCAGGTTTCCTATGGTTCCCTACCTCTGCAGGTTCCCTATGGTTCCCTACCTCTGCAGGTTCCCTGATGTTCCCTACCTCTGCAGGTTCCCTAATGTTCCCTACCTCTGCAGGTTCCCTATGGTTCCCTACCTCTGCAGGTTCCCTGATGTTCCCTACCTC